GAGTGGATTTGAATTTATTAAACCCACTGAATAGATTAACTACGATTGAAGCCATCATCCCACGAAATATCTCCGCCACAATGTTACCTTTCTATAAACCCAAGCCCATAAACTACATATTGAACTAAAGTAGTGAGTCGTGACTGGGATATTTGCCATAGGAATAAACCCGAGGTAGCGATCAAGCTGCTACAGTTATAAACACGAATTGAAACCCATATACTCCACGTAGAGTGTGTTAGACAGGATCGGCGGGGGGGTGGAGGGTGGGAAGGCACTCGGAGGAGAGACTATGTGAGTAAAACGCCTCGGATGGAGTAGCAGGAGGGATGCGTGTTATATAGATTGTGGGGGGGTGTGCGAGAGGAGGGACGAGGGAACTGTGTGTAGACCGCGGTGTTAACAAACGGTACACTAATGTTTCACATCTCAGCATGTGCCTCGAGGTTTCAGTGTACATACAGTGAGTGAGTGAGAGAGAGCGAGAGGGAGAGGGAGAGTGAGTGAGGATCGCTTAGATTTGTGCTTTCTACCTCACTCTGTCTCACTGCCTCCCCTCGGTGTTACTTCCCTCCGATGTGTGTTTGGCAGCCGCAGGAGCAAGAGCGCCAAGTAGCTGAGAGTCCTCTCTCCCAAGAAACGCAGGCAGCGGCACCAGTCGTTTCAGTATTTCGTAGTAAACGTACGTACGTACACTGGAGGGTTTTTGGGGGCTATAGTACTGTAAATGGGCATGAGGGAGGGGGAATAAAAGTGGTGAGACGGTTTAACGCCGAGGGTAGAGTAGGGGTTATTTCAAACGCATTTAATGGAAATAGTTGGTGAAAATGGTGGGGATAAATACAGAGACACAAGAGTTGAAGCGACTGGGGTTTGCCACGCGTATTTCTGACGCGGAAAGGCGGTGGACGGGGGCGGAGCCGTGGCTTGTCCGCGCCCCCAAGAGGGGAAAAAACCGCGACTCTGCGCGTCCCATCTGACGCTTATAAATGCGGAGTAGGGATAAAGAATACTGGTGGGATATGTTCAAGTGGGGAGAAAAAGGAATTCCACGATTTATTTCGAAACTCCCTACGGCGCCGAGGAACTTACGGTTTCTCTGTTTAGGGGTGGGTTTTTGGGGTTTTGTCAGCGAGAATAGTCTAATGTGTGTAATGTATGAATGGAAGGGAAAATGGGGAGGATATGTAATTTTTATCTAGTAATTTTCTATCCCGCAACCCTCAATACAGGCGGAGATTCGTAGTGACCCATTTCTTTGCTAATTATTTCTTTTAATTCTCTGTAATCGACTGATTATATCCATCTGTATTCCACTTGCAATTAAATCGTCTTTCAACTCAACATTCCGCATTAAATCACAGCTACTCCAGCCTCCGTTCATCTCGCATTCAGCATAAACCATGTAAGTGATAACAAGATGAATGGAAACCAGTATGAAAACGATTACAAGAAATCATGTTCATGTACTTCAATACCACGAAGTACATGAGAATGAAGTTTCAAAGAAGGATAACTGCGGTCGGACGAAACCGCAGTACACATACACGTGGTGAAGAATTTCCCATACCCTGCGGTTGTGTACTGCACTGTACAAGGTGTGCGGAAGGATATGTCGATGGACGATCGACGGGCCTCTCCCTCCAAGGGGTAGTAACGAGAAACAATAGACTGAGTGAGAATGAATGAGTGAGGGAGAAACGATCGAGTGCAGTGAACAAACTGCCGGGGGAAGAAGTCAGCGGCAAGTAAGCAGCGCCGCCGATGCTAAACTTCGGGATCTATCGAACTAAAATTGTCGTGTAGTTTTTCCCTCCTCCTGCCCCTCCCCGCCCCGCGCTCGGCAAAATTGTTGTATGTACCCCAGTGTGCCTGTACGTGGCTGTATCCCCACTCTCGGGTTCACTCTCAGGGTTTATCCCCACCCAGAAACGAAAGCGAAGCGAAGAGGGAAGAAAGCATGGCAAGCTTTATCGGTGTATAGAGCGGTGAGACGGAGTGGCATAGGGGCGGGGGGGATTGAAAACCTGAGGACATGCAGTGGCGAATGTGAGCGAGGAAGACAGAATTTTACCATGTGGACATAGGTGACTGGAGAAGGGGGTGGCGTGAAGTGGGGAGAGAGGGGCGGAGAGGGGGGAAAGGTGGAAGAGAGAAAGAGTAGAGGAAACGTGAGGTTGGCTGTGTGGCCCCACGAGCCGACTCACCATATTTTATTGTCGCGTTTGCCAACGCTAACCGCCAAGCGTAAGGTTCCTCCGCGGGACGATATTCTACCTCGAGGGCCTGCCGGCTTTTCAAACACACGAGTATAATGAAACGACGACACAACACCACCAGAGGTGGCACCTGGATATACACAAAGAAGTGTCTTCCCTCTCCCACCACCCTAACTCCTTCTTTCTTGCCTTTACATATAAACGAGTCCTTTGTGAGGGGTGGAGAGAGGGGGGTCTCACCTCTCTCACTCTACATCGCCTTTTTTTTTCCGTACAGTGGCGCGCGGCGTGCCGAGTTCTGGACCCTCCCACCGCCCCAGGGGTGAAACCATCTCACAAAAATCAGCGCTTCATCCAATTCTCCCCTTCCCTCCCTCTCGGGCCGGCGTCCATCAGCCCTCCTGCTTGTGTCTCCCTCACCTCCAGTTGTTGTTTTTTGCTTTTTTTTTAAAGAGCAAAAAGAAGTACAGCGACAACTGCCACCACCACCAACATCAGAATCATCATCAGCACCAGCCAGTCCTGGCTTTTACCACCACCACTGGTAACAACTGAAGCTGGTTTGTGCCGTTTGCAAGGAAACTAACACAGAGTACTCATCGGAAGGGATTATATACCACACACCAAGCAATAGCTGCTGAGTTTCCTACAGCTCAACGTTATATCAACTTACTCGTATACAACGTTTGTCCCTTTCTGTCCTCCTTCGTCTCCTTCTATTTGTGCCTTACCTCTTTGGAGTTGTTGGATTGTACAAGAGGGCCCCTGAGGGTGGGCGAAAAGCGCACGGTGGCAGGAGGGCGCGACAAGACAAGAGAGTGGCACGAGGCAAGAGACTGTCGTTTGTGCCCTGGACCTCCTCCCCCCGCTCTTTCGCGCTCTCTCTCGCTCCTCACGTCCTCCTTCATTCTCTCGTCCGCTCTTTACATACCTTTATACACATACGTGTAACCAAAGGATATACGAGACATACTCCTTTGGTTGAGAAATAAACGGCGCATGTGTTGGTCCCTCGGAGGTTACCTCCAGAGGTTGAATGTTTGTGTTTGTAGACCTCTGAAAACCCGACGACTACGAAACCGAGCCACTGGACTCCACACGGTGCGACACCGCCACCGATTGCCTGTGCGCAACCACCTCTCTCACTCGCCCTTTCGCGGTCTTCACCACCGTGTGCTATCGTCGTCCGTCGCTCCGGGAAACGACTGGAAAAAAAGGCCGAACGCCGCAGCGCGAAAGAGAGAACGTCGCTCCCTCCCCCTCCTCATCGAAACCCCCTGGTTTTATCCACCCCCTTTTCGGTGGGAGAGTACATACACCGGCGTAAAAGGCGAGTGAGACAGAAGAAGTGCAACCGCGTTACACGCCGCGCCGCAGTCGAACGCCCGCTCTCACTATATACCAGACTTTACTCGCAAGCCAGTTTGTACTTGGCGCCCTCCACGAGAGTCTACGAGTGAGCGCCTGCTCCCGTGCCTCTCGCCGAACTTCAAAACTTCAGTCAAAGGGGGGGTTGATTGTTCACTCATCAACAAAGTCGCTGAGTTACCGATAATCATTTGATGTTCATTGTGAGAGGGACGGTAATCCGAGTGACAAATAATTTATTAAAATGAAGTGCAAAAGAACGCGGAGAAGTAGAGGAATAATGAGTTGGAAAAAATTGAGGGAGCATTAAAGCTGTTTCAAGGAGCATAAACGTGTATTCAACATCTTCCGTCAGTAGTCATCAGTTCCCCCTCTCATCTGTTTAAAATCCTTCCTTCCTCCTCTCACACTCGGACACTCAGTTCCCCGTCTCCCTCCAGCATTTTCCCTCTCATTCGCAAAACCCTCAGTACTGTCCTCCCAGGTTTCCACCCGCCTCTTCTTCCTCCACCTCATCCTCTTTTCCACACCGCGCCTCCTCGTAACCCATCGCACACTCTACTCCTCCATTCTCTCACTCTCTCTCTCTCTCTCTCTCTCTTCATCTCTTTTCCCCCCTTTTACTGCGCGAGAGAATTCCCCCCGATTTCTTCCCCTCCCCGTTCGCAATACCGTAACTGTGCGCCGCCTCGCTCGCTCCACTCAAACTCTCCCACCTACTTCACAAATACCCACTCTCTCTCTGTCTTACTGTGCGGATGACGGGCGACGCGGGGGGAGTGAGCAAACTGTGCGATTCCCCCGTCGAAAAGAAACGACGATTCGGTTGTGTGTGGATAGTCGCGACCGATCATAGCTGGCGCGTCGATCGGATCAACCAGGGGAGAGCGAGAACAGCCGCACAACAGAGTGCCCGCCACATAGTACCGTGAATTCTTCGGACACACTCTTTTTCCCCCGTTAATCGTGTGCGCTCATAATTGCAATCAAATTAAATTACCAAAAATTTGATAATCAGTGGCGGTACAAAATACCAACAACAACCGAATGACATTCGACAATTGTCACTGTTATAATACAAGGCGTCGTGGCAATAACAGAGCCCGCCCCTTGTTCAACACGCTGGAGTACGACAGCCGGGTTGTCAGAGTGAAGTGACTGTTACCACTAGAGTGAGAAGATTTTTTTTTCTTCTCCCCGGAGTGCGAGAAGAGTGGGGGGAAGAGGCACAGGGACACAGTGAGAGAGACCCCTTGTCGACAGTTCTTTTCACGGAGAAGTCAGTTTGGTAGTTTTCATCGTCGAGGGAAAACACACGCCGGTCCCACGCAATCCGCCTCGACGGATTTTACTTTTCCCACTCTGACTTGTGACAGTGATTGTGATTATTTTCATCTTTTTGGATTTGCCCATGTGATTTGCCTCATTGGATTTTATGTGAACGCACAGTTTTACGACTGCAATTGATTTTTTTTGTTTTTTTTTTTAATTTTTCGAAAAGAGAAAGGGGAAATTCTCGTCGTAGACGAGTTTAGTGACGTGATTTATCAATTATTTTTTGTTGTGAGTTATCAGTGACTGTGATAGCAGGTGGTCACGCACACAATGCTAGCGTAGCGGATCTTGACGATCGCGGCCCTGCGTGGCCGACACATCATGTCACAGTTCTCTTACAGAGGATCACCAAACTTGCAGGTGAGGATCGTATGACAGCTGATGAGTGCGTTGATACAGTAACCGCGCGAATGTTTCGCGTTACCCGTGGTTCAGGGCAACGGCATCCCAATGTGATACTGCAATTATCAGTTTATCATTCCTAGTTCAATGATCATTGAGTTCAAGTTATAACTACCGGATGTTTAATATTTATTATTAGCCAATGCAGCGGAATACGAGTGTGAATTATTTGAATGTTCGGTTTATCGGAGACTGGATTCTGGTGTTTGTCATAGGCGCTGATAAAACCCCCGATTAATGTCACGACATTTTTCGGACAGTAAATAATGTCAAAAGGCGCACGTGGAGTCGAATAAATTCAACAGTACAATGAAATAAATTCAGTTATTTAATTAGAGATAGTGCGGGGACTTCTCGAGTGAAAATTATGTCGGCCCGACAGATCGTACACCGATTGCGTTACGTGCGTTGATGCCCGAGGGGAATTCATTAAATAAATGAGTGCTGAAAAGGGGGGTAACAATAAACACGAGAGGGGGGGACGATAAAAAAAATGGAAAACCGGGGAAAAATAAAAATAATGATGATAAAATTCAGAGGAGTAGAACCGGCGTTGAGTGTTGTTTTCTTCATGCTAAAAAATCAACTAGTCAAGTCGGCTGGAGTTTGGTTTGATCGAATAAACGTGTTGGCTGGGGTTCTGCGTGTGTCCCAGCCTCGTGTTCATCGCGATAACAAACTTCTCCAGCAGTACCTGAGATGTCTGATTCGTTTGGGGCTCAAAACAAATGCGTTGTCGTTGCTCGTGTACCTCGACAGTTTAGATCGAATCCACAACATTTTTAATATTATTTTTTTTTACGTGTTGATTCAATAAATAATTACACAGGGCAAACTTGCACCTATATCTCGATTTGATACACCTCCACTGGTTGTTTTGTATATCGTTGAAATAGCTGGCCAGTGCTAAACTGATCGTCAGGGTCCATCAATAAATAAACTCTTTATTTTTAACGTCCACTAATGAAACCGACAAGGTGCTTTGAATGTTTGTGCAATCGCGTGACGATAAACTCGCTGCCATTAATTATGGCACTTATTGACTATGTTATTATCGCCAGCCGATCATATTTTGAGGTATGAAATGATGGTGGTGCCCTTGCGAAAAAAATTACACACGAGTCCATGCAAGTTGGTAACACTGATGAGGGTACAGAGGCCACGTGTCCCTCCATAACCACCACACATGTGCACTATCCATCCTCATCCTTGCACTTTAGTTTTAATGTTAAAGACTATCTGACACCGTACGGATCACGTGTCACATCAAATTGATGTTTTTACGACGTTGTTTCCCATCGCAAATGCATTTGTTACAAAATTACTCTGTTTATTATTTGTCATTAATGCGAGGACTGGTTAAAAAGATGATGCAAGACACTCAGCCGTCGCCTCGGCAACGCATTAAAACGTTGTTTAGCATTCGAGTCGTTTAGTTTACCTCGAGTATGGCTCTTCAGTACAATTTTTCCTCTCGAATGTGCAGTAGTTGGCTGTGAGATTTGGTTCTCCGCGAGCGTGCATTTTCATCCTTCATTTGAAATAATTTTTTTTTGTGAATTTCAAAGAGAAACTCGGTGTAAATTTAGTCACTCTAGCCCACGGATAATCTCCAATGTCACTCATCCTAATTGAGATAACTCCGTCTCCCTGTCTTCGTGCACCAGAAAACAGACACAAGTTTATTTCGGTAGTGAATTTGTTGGTGTCTTTAGAAAGTAAGTTTTAACAAGTTTATAATATACAATAATCCACTCCAATATTTCCATTTTAATGAACAACCTAGTCTTCGTGTATTCAATGATAACCGGCGATAAGTCTCCTTTGCACATTAGAGTCATGTAAGAATATGTTGGATTAAAATACGTCTGGAAATGCTAATGAATTACTCACATGTACGCAACCGAAACCGGTAGGTGGAATGTCTCGTTTATTCAAACGGCTTATTTCTCTCCGACTCTTCCATTATCATCGGCTCCCGATATATCATGCATTTATTGAAAACCGTTGAAAAGAAGAAAATAAAATGACGTCCCTTGTTTCCAATCAGTCTTAGGTTTTGTCTTTTTTTCCACTAAAGTATTTCTCCCTCCCCTGTTGCCATGTTTATTCAGTCATTAAAATTAACCAGACGAATTCCATTGCGACTCCAGTAACAATAATACATCACGTCACAATGTAAATGCGTGTTGGCAACACACGGTGAGGCTGCCAAGCCTCAATGTACATGGAAAAATCGACGTAAGAGGTGAATGCCATTGAATGTGTCTGTGCGTTGTAAAACGAGAAGCGCACGAAAGAGTCCAGTGCCACGAGAGACTCATTGACGGGGCTGAGGTGGAAGGAAAAAAAATTATGAATGGCATATTATTGCTGTGTTAGCACCCTTCTTCGCATATACGTTCTCACTGATACGTATCTCATGCACCCAGTTTAGCGTTCTCTAGTTATACGCTGACTCGACAGTCACGTAGGAATTGCTCGGGGAATCGTTTTCGGTGTCCCTCTCTCTCTCGCCCCTTTCCTCTCCTAGCAGAGTGCAACGCTGACTCAGATCCGCCCTCGTTGCAATCTTCAAACCTCTTTCTCACTTCGAATTCTCCTTTTCCAACTCATTTCTTTTCTTTCTTCTTTCTCAACGAAAAATTTCATCGTAAACTCTCAATCTGTCAACGCACACGCAAGCCAACAGATTCCCTGGACAGCTTCCGGTCGTCGTATTTCGTTGTCCCCTCGATGCCCCCTACCCCTTCCACGCACTGAGAAACGTAAAATTGTTTCTGCTTGGGTTTAAAAGAGGATGCAATGAGAAAAAAAATTGAGTGAGACAAAAAAAATGAAGCGAATTCTCGGGGTTTCGCGTCACTGATTTCGCTTCTTAGAATTGAAATTCACTCCCTCTCTCGTGATGTACATTTTCATTCGTATAAGGCGCCTTGAACAAACGCCGGATGTAAGGACCTGTGTCGCGCTCTCGATAAGTAACGTCTATCTTCGTTACAAACTCACTGTCGTTAACGTTTGCTTTGTTGTAATCTCTCTCGGTGTAGTCTCATTTGGTGTTGAACTTACGAGGAAACGACGGAGTCGGATGACGGCGCACATAACACACAAGGTGGATATAACAACCGTTGCGTTACCAGTGTATAATATATCGTCGGTTTAGTTCATTCAAACGTTCATTGAGATACTATCATATCGCCGTTTTTATTTCTTTTTTTTTGTCTTTATTAAATCTCTCAGGGTAATTGGTCGTTGTATTACAGTTACAACAATGTGGAGTGTCGAGGATGTACGGTTACTTAAATCCAAATATTCTAATTACACAAAACATGAAAAGATGTACCAAAATTTACAATCACAGTAAAATATTCCTTTTCAAAAATTTCCATTGAAGAAATTACAAATAATGATGAAGAACTCTCAAGGAGCTCTTCATCAGGGCAATATTTACTCTGCACAAAAAAAAATTTTTTTACAATCAAAAACCAAATGAAAACAGACTAGTCATACTATTGTTGAAACTATTTCACAGATGAAGCTGAAACTGGTAAAAGATTCGACAGCAAAAGATTTGTCTTAGGCGAATCTAGGGGTGTAAAGTTGTTAAGTAATGTACAAACTCTTTCGCACTTGAAAAACATTTTTACATATGATTATTTGACTCTCCTACACTTAAATATCCCCTAAATCGAATTTTCCGCTGACAAATATTCTGCTACTTTCAACTTCATATTTCACAGTGCAGTTATTGTAAGTTATATTCCGACAGATTTTCTTTAAAAAATAAATAACTGATTAAGAATTAAAATGAACAAAATAAAAATACCTAAAAGTCCAGAGGATGTAAAGGACCAGCAGAGTTCTGTCGTTAAAAATACTCCCACACTGATAGAAAGGATTAGTTATTTTTAATTCGGTCTGACCAAATGTGGATTCGTTAATAGTTAATGAATCTCGTTTGGAATAAACGAATGATTCTATCAGTGCATGAATTCTAAATGTCAATCATCCCTTGAAATTTTGGAAATCTTCTCAGTTAACATGTTCTTTGTGTCTTGAACCAATTTTGTAAATATTGTCCTGGTGAGCTCCTGAAGAGCTCCCTGAGATTTCGAAACGTTGGCAAAGTTGAACAAAATGATTTGTAATTTCTGCAATGGAAGTGTTTGACTTTTTTTTTTTTTTTTTCGGCAATTTGAAACCTATATACAAGGTTTATTAGCCTGAGCCGTAAGGCAATTCAGTATAGTACATGGCAACACTGATAATATTTTCAAATTACATTGGTTGAAGAAGTTATCAATAGATTTTATAACAAAGTGTTTGTCTTCATACCGCTATACTGTTATAATTTTTTTGAAATTTCATGGAAGGTATTATAGTAAATCTCATAAAAGTGACATTGAATCGAATTTAGGGAAAAAAATTGTTATGATTTCTACTTTTAAGCAGAATTCACAGAAATTCATGAGTTTTCAGTGGGAGGGAGATGGAAATTTTACAATTGAATTGAATTTTCAGTGGAATATGAATATTCAGAAACAAAATGATATAAATTTTCCATTTTTCCCTGAATTTTCCTGATTTTTCCGAATTTTTACAGGATAATTGAACTGAAAAATCTAGTATTTTATTGATTTCCAGATCATTTGAACAGAAAATCACTGGAATATTTTATTTTTCAATGATAAGATATCCTCAAATTTCAGTGGAACTAGAACACGATAAAAATTTCCGAAATTTGGCAGGGAAAATTCAGACAAAAATTTTTAACAGTGTATTTGGACAGTTTTTGCCTGGGATTAGTTAAGGAAAACCATGAAAAGATATAAATCACAGATTGCCGTTGTTTATCTGTCGTTTTTCGTCTGACCCGCGCGATTCTGAGGGATTTCATGGGGCGAATAAATATTGAACCATCCTCTGACGTTTATCGCCACACAGAGACAGATAGA